TCCCAAATTGGTCCTACCAGGAATTGAACCCAGCGCCCGTGGTGTAAGTCAGTAGGCGACCGAGGTCGCTGAATTAAATTTAGAGTGACAATAATTGGCTTCGTCTTCCTATTGGTAATATTCCTAGAGCACATATTACGGTCAAAACACTACAAATAAAATAGAAACACGTCCATTGGGAATCGATGTCTAGTGTGTTCAATATACATATATTTATGTAATATATGTACGTATGTTTTTATGTTTGAGCTTTGGTTATTTATTAATTAGTTTCATATAATAATATAGATATTTCGATATCTTGTTGTTGGTGTGAGAAAGATAATTTGACATAATATTTATAATTTCTAGCATTATTTAATTTTACATTGCACACATATATATATATATTTTAATTCATTTTTTTCTTTTATTATTGTTCACACTGAGTGCGTGAACATCTTCGAAATACATCCACGAAACTTTTATTTTTTATTTTTAGTTTTTATAATAAGAATTTTTATTTTTGATGTTAATAGGGATGCTGTGTCGAATGATTTTGAAATCTTAATTAGTGTATTGTTTGTATCAACAGTATTATACTAAATATAACCGTTGAAAACTTTTATAATTATTATAAATCTAAAGCTGTCAATACTTTATACAATACATACAATATTCCACCTATTCGCACTAAGCGCTTTGCTTCCTCCTTTCTGATGCGTACGACAAAGGAATGGAATGCTCTACCTTCTGTCTGTATTTCCCGAAAAGTACAATTTGGGGCTACTCGAGGCTAGAGTGAATAGGCATTGTCGGTCACATCGTCGCTTAACATCAGGTAAGATTGTGGCCTAGCGTGTGTCTATTATATATAAAAAAAACTATTTTGATTGAAATAACTAGTTTTTTTTCATTCTCTCCGTAAAGGAAAAGGTAAAGGTTTGAAACCATACAGCCAAGTCTTGGTGAATTTTCCTTTTTTTTAATCTTAATTTAAATAGGCATATATTATATATTTATTTTATAGGCATTAAGCATTAAGCCTAGTATTTGGTGGGTCATCATATGTACATCTCATCAGATGCATCGTCAAGTGTCAGAAAAAATAAATTGCCAAAGCAAAGAGAGTGCAATCACTCTGTTGTCAAATCTGTTTCTGTTTGACAGGACTTTGCAAGTCATAATTCGATATTTTTTGCCTATATTATCACTCGTTGCATATCGAATCTAGCGCCAAGTGTCAGCTGACATCGAGTATATAACTAGAAATAGACACGAAAAAAGGGCCATACATTCCTAGTAACTTATCAGTGATACATCACATATAAACATCAACTCTCGTTAGCACTGAAATAAAGCCAGCGCCAACAACTGACCTGCGTGTACGTCTCCATATATTCCAAAAATATACTGTATTTATTGTAATAAAGATAATATCTCTAACAATGGCGTGCTGTTTTATTTGGTGGTGTGAGGAAAAACAGCAAAACATGTAATTACAAAACCAACCGAATCAAATTTCATCGGTAATTAAATATTAAATATGTAATTTTGCAATTTCCGTCCATTATAGCAAAGCTCAAGTTAACTGGTAGATTTGAAGTGAAACAATTGACGACACCCGTCAATTGTTTCGAACTCGAGCTAGCCAATCGGAGCGCAGTTGTCACAGTAATGATATGGCAGAATAGTTTTCAAACAAATTAAATGACATTTCGTCTCTATTTCTGCTTATATACTCGATGTCTACGGTACGATATAATATTTTTATATATTCTGTGGCAAGAAGTAGTTTAGTAAATTTCTAATAAATTATTTCTACACAAAAGTATTTTTTTCCATTTTTTAATATATCGTTGATTCAGATGAACAGGTGCCTCTGAAACACAGATTTTTCAGGTGAGCAATTTTAAAGTTTCTTCTAGCATTCATTCAGCCGCTGTTATTATTTGATTCTCCTCACCTACATATATTTAAAGCCTACACATTTAACAGCATTTTCGAATACTTCTTATTCTTACTTCGTGATTTTGTCAAAATCCTGAAATTATTCAGAGAGGTCTATAATATTATTACCCTATTGAAAATAAAATATTTGTGAGTTAGAGTTTTAACTAAACTATTCATGCTTAATACTTTTAAGAAGAAAGAAGGAACAATTTTCAATTCTATAAAACAGTGAGGAACTTGAAGTATCTCAAAAAATTACTCTGTACCATTACCATAACAATTCGAAGAAAAGAAAAATCCCAATAAAGGTATTACCTAGAAATAATCGTCTTCGTTTTAGAAACGAATATTTTTGAAATATCTTAACATTAGTTTTAATACCCTGTTCAACGAACGACAACGTCTTGACGACTGAAGCTTTGTGTGTAATACTGAATACGACTGAGGTGCTTTTTTTAAATAGGACAAGCATTTTAAAATAAAAATTCCACATTTTTGAGTTGATATCCTGTTAATCTAAGGCAACGATATGTAATGTATAACAAAACATTTTCTATCTACGTGTCTACGTACGTGTCTTCATAGATCGAGATTAAACGTACAACCGTAACCATTTACAGAGTTGATGGTTTTGTATAAGGTAACAAGTGTTTCCAAAGACACTTGTCTCTTAATTAGCCAAACATTAGCGAAAGTTGATCTCGGCAAACTTTACTTAGTTAGTCCGTTTGAGACCTACTTACGTTCATTAAGTAACTTGATGAATGCGCAACTTAGGCAAGGGTGTAATTCTGTGATAATATGAACGATTTTGTGCAATTAGCTGAAGTCTCTCGTATCTATTTGAGGCTAATATTTGTCATTTCTGTGAACTTTTACAAGTTCTCTAGCAACAGTGTTAGATTCATTATGTAAAAGAATATTTGAATATCACGGTTTAGCTTCTAAAAAATTGCGTTAAAGTATCGTGATTCGAAAAACCTTTAAGTGACGAAAATACCTATGAATATATTGAAAATTTTACTATTTCATCAGACATAACATCGCTTATATTTCTATACTTCGGGGAAGATAAGGCGTAAAAGCCAATTTTATCGAAAAAGATCTATAGTTTAGCCGAAGAAATTATTTGATTATTAATAGCAGTAGAGCTTCTTGTAATAGAGTACGTTCAGGGAAGTACTGCCACTGTACCTATTTCTGCCGCCAAGCAGTAATATGAGCATTACTGCGTTCCGATTTTGAAGGGTAAATAAAACTGGTGGTGAAATTACAGGCACATGTGACTTGTCAACTTTGTGTCTCAGAGTGACGAGCAGTAGCAGTCACCCTCTGATCTTGTTATTTAAAACTCTGAGTAGCACTGCGATCATTATAGACGTGTCACTTACCTGTTATATGCACGACTGCTTGAAAATAATAGTAATTTTGTACAAAATATGAGTCGACACTAAATAAGTGCGTTTGGAGATCTCATTATCGTGTGCAGAATTAGTACACTTACTTTTATTAAAAATCGATGTCGTTACGTCCGAAAGGATTTCGTAGTAAGTACAACGTTTCGTACGTACAACTCATTTTTAACCGTACTAAAGCTGCAGATGCGTTTTTATGCCTTCTACAATTGAAGACGTTGAATTTTTGTCTGTGGATTGATTAAAAAACTGCCAATATCAAAATATTATGATAGTGTGCATACTTGACTCCGATTTAGGGTTAGGTAACTTCTATATTATATTCTATGTTCTATAACCATATTTTAGATTTCACATCACATTCGGTGTTCAAAAACAAACTTAAAAAAGTTAATCTTGAATTACCTATACAACTTCTGAATGCTTTGATCGGAAATCGAAGGAAAATACTACAGCTAAAGAAATAATCAAAAAATTTAAGCAGTTTTTACAAATGATCTTATTACAATAGCGTAATCAAACCACTTTTGCAGTGAAGTTCTTTAAGATAGCAACCCTGCTAGCGCGGTCCGTACTAACGAAGTTTGATCCTGTTTAATACCAGCAAATCAAACTCTATTATATTCAAGCTAATAACAGTCTTAGTCACACGAATTACAATTCAGGAAATGTACAAAGCGAAACTAATTATAGTTAACCGCGTGTTACAATAAGGTTACGCAAAAGTGCAAATTTTAAAAGTATATCTTTTGACCAGCAAACTTTCAAAAACCCACCAAATATACGACTTATAAATGCAAATGCGTTACGTTACGACTTTCGTTGCGGACGCGATATTCGTATATCGTATTTCGTGGTAAACCTCCTGTTTCGTTTTCTTATGACTTCTCGTTCGTTTTACTTTATACGATTGTTTTTTTTTATTCTATTAATTATATATTCCCGTCTTTAATGAAAGTATTTTTTCGGGTATAACAAAATAGTTTATTATATATAGTAATTTCCAATGTGTGCCGACTGCGAAAACCTAAGAACGCGAATATGATCTTTACCATTAACCATGATCCATTTTACACTATTTCCGAATGTGGTAAAATAAACACGACTCCATTTAAAAGTAATACTGAGTAATATGATATTAAGTTCATTGAACATTCTATGTGTTACTACCATGATTATCAATTATTTTTTTATGAAATTATTCTGCCAGTTTGCTATAATTATAAATACAAAGATCGAACACAATGAAAAAACCTTCGATCCAGCTGGATTCGAACCGGAGCGCCTTCAGCATATCGGACCTGACGCTCTCCCAACTAAGCTACGGAACAAACCAATAAACCTTACGCATTTTTCTATGTGCTTGTTGCTTATCTTTGTTTTTGGTTTTTACTCCTTTTTTGGGTTTTTTTGTTATGTATGTTACGCGATAACTTATTTGTGAACCGATTTTTTATTGGACAGAGGCTACCTCAGTATTGGTCTATTTGAGTTTGAAGGAAATATTCCATCTTTAGGGGTGGCAAACTAAGGGATGAATCCGGTTCCGCGCACTTTCCGGTAACCGATTTCAATAAAACTTAGCAAAAATATATGTCATTCCACAAAGTTTTACGGTCGCTTTTTTATATAAAAAACTTACAATTCTTTCAGATGCTGGTCTGGATATGGTCAGTTAGCCTCTTGACTGCAATATATCTCTACTTCCGGCAAGTTTATGGCTTCTTTAAAAATCGAGGTGTGAAGACAACGGGAATTATTCCACCTTTCGGCACTATATGGAGCGTTTTGGCACAGCGAGAGCATATTAGTGACCAAATTATCAAGACCTATAACCAATTTTCAGACCAGAGGTAAGTACAAGCAAGGCGTAGGAAATTGTGCTTATCAAAATCCTTAACCAGTGTGCCCTATGTTTTATTCGTCATAGTATTAGAAATACAGCGATCATTACGTACTTACTTGGTACTTGCTGCAACGGGCTGGTATCCGCAACTTGACGACAAAGCGCCTATTTTGCGTGTGATATTACTTAATACGTACTTAATAATTAATCAGATTTTACTTTCTTAATAAATACTTAAAGATATCGCTCTACACGGTGATAACTCTGTGCGGTAACAAACGAAAGTCAAATAATACCAGTACAATGCAAAACGCCGGGGCCGGGTTGAAGGTCGTTCTACCATATACAGATATAAAAATGTCAAACAACAAATACTTAAAAGTTTATTTTTGATACATTGAAGGTAGCTTAACTTTTTAAATTAGAAATTACGACCAATAATTTGATTAAGATTTCGATTGTTTAACATTACGATAGTAGTGTTTTGGCGATAACGGTTCTTGTAGTAATTGAGGCTTAACGCTCTTCCTTTGTTTTTTTATTCCATGGTAAAAAGTAATAATAATAATAATAAATAATTTTATTTGCGAAAACACAGTTTATGAAGAAATGTAAAAAATGTGAAAAATAAATATAGTTTCATTGTGGCCGGTTAAACATTAGGCATGCAAATATTGAAGGTATAATAATACATTCACTCCCATACACTTCGGGCCATATATGGCCACACATGAATTTAATAAGTCGGTCAGAATTTGAACGCGATGATTGTTATATGGGTCAATTTTAACTGTAACTGTATGTCAAAATAATATCGTATTATGAATAATGTCAATAACGTCAAATGTCAAAAGTTAGGAAATAAATTTCGGGATTCATAATTTAAAAATTCCATCGAGTAAAATTATAACCAGAAATAGAGACGAAATAAGGGCCGTCCATCACTGGCAAGTCATGCAAATGGGCCTTATATCACTTTTAAATATCAACTCTTCTTTACTCTGAAATCACAAGTTAGAAAGGTGAAATAGTACAGCGCCAATAATTGACCTGTGTGCACGTCCCCGCATATTCCAAAAATATTCTGTATTTATTGTAATAAAGATAATACCTCCAATAATGGGGCTGTTCCATTCGATAGTGTGGGAAAAACTGCAAAATATCTAATTACAAAACAAACGGAATCACATTTCATCGGTAATTAAATATGTAATTTTTCAATTTTCGTCCATTATAGCTAAGCTCAAGTTCAACTAGTCTATTTGAAGTGAAACAATTGACAACAACCGTCAATTGTTTCGAATTCGGACTGGCCAATCAGATCGCAGTTGTCACTGTAATAATTTGCCAGAATAGTTTTCAAACAAACTAAATTCGGAGAATGTGTAGTGCAATTTATTAATCAAGAAATGTTGTTTAATTTTATTTAAATCAATGTATTTGATGTAAAAGTCATGGAGCAAAAAAATGTTGTTTATGATGTTAGGAATATAGTTCTGTGAGGGTGTTAGTATTTTACAAATAACCATGAACACTCAACACTCCTAAATATAGTATGGTTATGTCTTTTAACTTAACTGTAATAAAATCTTCCTTTACACTATAATATAGTTAACAGCACACTAAACTTTACTCAAATCTGAACTCTATGCCACTAATAAATGAAGGTGCAATGTGTTAAGCTGAGTATACCGTACGTCCGTTACAATGTTAGAACAGAATTTAAAATAGACGTGACTAATCCTTTATACGACTCAAGCGGCGCCTATGTCTTATTACGGCTAATAAAGACCGTAGGTATAATAAGGGGTACTTCCTAATTTTAAAACATCTAGATGTTCTTGTCGTGACATAACAGGCACAACATAATGGGCTCGTGTAGTTGACTGTTTGTTTGTTATATATTTTATTGGCACGTCAATAGGTAGTTATCTACTTAGAATAATAACGCATAGAATGATAGTTTCATATCAAACGAATTGTCACAAGTGAGGCAAAAATCAAATTCATGTAGGCTAGTTTTAGTAGTAGGTTAATTTTCGGTTTTAGTGAATATTTATATAAAAATACAAGTTGAAACGCGTTACTTCCTTGTGGAATGTGATGTTAGAATCTGTTTTATGTTTGTCTGACGCATTTTTAATCATTTACCGCACATTTCGTCGTTTTTAGCTAAAATTCTGGAGCTGTTCGCGGTGCAAGTTGACCTTGAGCACTGACAGCCCGCCCGCTCGTGTAGGCCCTTTGGGAGCACTTCAATTTGCCTCACTTAGCGTGTGCGGGCTAGGTTTCTATGCGTTATTATTCTATGGTTATCTATTTGAAATGTATACGTTATAGAGAAGTCGGATAGCCCTTCTTATTCCGTCTAACCATTTATTTAACTTTTAACATATGCATGCCTCCGAAGGCATCCGAAGTTGTGTATTTATTGACATACAACTATAAACAAATATGCAATACTTCCTGGCCTATTTTATTTTTAATTTTAGTGAAGCGACGTGCTCTTTAGCTCCGATATGTATCGAGTCAACTGATTATATAACGAAGATTATTCAAGTTGATAAATTTTAATACCTGTCTAATAAATCATAGTGAAATGAAATAAATTGTAAATAATTATAATAAATTATTTTTGTTTATAATGAATCGTCGTATTCGTCTCCGTTACGAACGGGAATCATTCCTTGAATCCCTATAAACATTAAAATTATTAATTCTTGAGATCACAAATTGTCAAACGCAACATCACAATCCCAATCAGACATCTTTTTTTTGAACCCGCTCACATTCACGGTTGAAACTTCTTCATAAATAAAATCGAGTGTTATAAAAAATCGAATCTGAAACGCATTAGGACATCAGTAATTGATTGGAACTCGAGCTGTCAAAAGTTAAATAAATGGTTCGACGGAGTATTAGATTGCTTGACTTCATTCCGGCTCTATAAGAAGATTATATCGTTACAATTTAACACTTTGTAACAAATTTTCAAAAAGGTTCTGTCTCTTCTTTGACAGTATTGGTTTCTGATTAATTTAGAAGCACGGATGTAAAAAAGAGTAGGTAGCTATATGCTTGAAACTTTGCTTTTATGATTATCACACTGGTGTTTACATAATCATAACATTTGCCCGACGATCTAATGTACACGGTGGTAGTACCAACAATAAAAAACAAGACGGGTGATGCTGCAGATTTGTCTAATTACAGGCCGATTTCACTACCTACCACTATAGCTAAGGTGCTGGATAGTTTGCTTGACAAACAGTTGGATAAGCACCTCCACCTGCACGACGCTCAGTTCGGTTTCAGGCCGGGTCTGTCTACTGAGAGTGCCATCCTCTGTCTCAAGCAGACTGTTCAGTACTACACTGCTAGGAAAACACCAGTTTATGCTTGTTTTCTGGACATGTCCAGAGCCTTCGACCTGGTTTCTTATGACAAACTGTGGCAGACACTGGAAACTGAAACTAAACTACCCCATGAGATTGTGACAGTTTTTAAGTATTGGTACAATCACCAGCAGAATAGTGTGAGGTGGGCAGGAGAGTCCTCAGATGCGTATGGGTTGGAGTGTGGGGTGAGGCAGGGGGGGCTGACTTCGCCCCGTCTCTTCAATCTATACGTGAACCAACTTATCGTTGGGCTCAGCGGCGCCAATGTGGGATGCTCTATAGACGGAGTATGCATAAATAACATCAGTTATGCTGACGACATGGTGCTGCTGAGTCCGTCGGTGGGTGGTCTGAGGAAGCTACTGCGCATTTGTGAGTCGTATGTGGAGGCCCATGGGCTCGGATACAACTCCAAAAAGAGTGAGTGTATGGTGTTTAAGGCTGGTACCAAATGCTACTCTCCCATGCCCATTACTCTTGGTGGAGCTGCTTTGAACATGGTACATAAATTCAAGTATCTGGGCCACTGGGTCACCGACGATTTGTGTGATTGTGAGGACATCGATAGGGAGCGTAGGGCGCTGTCCGTCCGCTGCAACATGTTGGCACGTAGGTTTGCACGCTGTACTAAACAAGTAAAGCTGACGCTCTTTAGGGCATATTGTCAGAGCTTTTACACGTGCAGCCTATGGACCAACTTTACGCGGCGGGCGTTCAATGCACTGCGCGTACAGTACAACGATGCGCTCAGAATTCTGTTGAAGATGCCGAGGTATTGTAGCGCCTCCACCATGTTTGCAGAAGCACGCGTGGATGACTTTTATGCTGTAATACGCAAACGGAGCGCTTCATTACTTTCTCGCCTTCGGACCAGCACCAACGGAATTCTGGGCGCGCTGTCCAAGCGTTGGGACTCACCCATAATGTGTAGGTGGTTGCAGCTGCATGCCAGTGTAGCGCCCGTTATTTTTTAATATTTATAATATTTTTAATTATGAAATTTTAATTTTTAAGTTTTTGTATTGCGATTTTACATTTTTGATTTTAAACTTTTGACTTTAAATTTTTGATTTTAAATTTATTATTTTAATTTTTGATTTTAAATTTTTAATTTTTGCTTATTAATTATTGATATTTAATTTGTGTTCTTTAATTTAAAATTTTATTATGTATTTCAGTAAGTTTAATTTAATTGTTTGTTAACTACACATACTAACATTAGTCTATAAGTGAAACTGTAACTAACACCATGGGTCTATGTTGCCTGAATAAAGGAATTTAATTATTAATTATTATTATTACTATAATCTCGCAAATGTACACTTTTCTAAGTTCTTCGTCGCTCATTTGTAGAATTTTCGTTGAAGACGAAGCTGTCGAGGCTTGAACACCACCGTAAAGGTGCCTGCTTATCGGTATTCTACAGGATACATCACGGAGAGTGTGCGATGGAATAGCATAATTTCATTCCGCTTTCCCCTTTCCATTATTGGGGGACTAGACGTGGGCAGGAATTCTACTCCTACGTTTTATAATTATAACAAACTAGTGGAGTAATTTCACAAAAAATAATTAAATATCAATTCAATAAAAATTTAACTAATACAGTGAATAGCGACATCTCTCGCTATGACTGATAGCTGTAAAGGTACTAACTGGGTGATATATCTTTCATCGATTTCCCATAGATGGCGCTACAACTAAAAAGTCGTTGAAAAACCAAATACGTGAGGTCCGTTGGTTCGTTCCGTGGCTTAGTTGGTACCTATAGCGTCTAGAACGGTATGCAAGAAGACGTCGGTTCGAATCCGACCGGATCGAAGGAATTTTTTCTGAGTGTTCGATCTTTGTATTAATAATAATAACAAACTAGCGGAGTAATTTCACAAAAAATAATTGAATATTAATTCAATAATAATTTAATTAATAAAACAGTTGCCAAATCAGTTAACAATACTTCAAGAAATATTTTGACCGATGGCTTTGAAGAAGATCATTTATGACATATCACAATTAATAATGATTCTTTTCATCAAAGTTTACAATCAAAAGTATAATTACATTGTGCAGTCGGTGCCTCTAATCTAAAAGATCAAAATAATAAAAATAGTATTATCACTAGTTACGTGTTCCTCGCCACGTTATGACGTTTTTTATTATCTCGATACACGCTCCAAAAATATAATAATAATTCAGAAAAACACCACGAAATTCCTAAAACACTTAAAACTGCTGAATCGTAATCTTCTTCTTATTTCATCATTATAATACCAAACTACACATCTTTACAAAGCCGTCAAAAGCCATTGTAATTAAGATTGAGATATGTTAACTCTTGCGCCGTATTTGTCCGATGTAGCCCTTCAGACTTCCACAAGTTTAGGTGTTTACAAAAATCTTTGACTGGGCACTGTGTTTTCGAAGTAAAGATGTCATTTTTCATTAATTATCCAAAAGATTAAAATTTAAGACTTATGTTTTCAAATGTTTTTCATTTATACCTTGATGCTGCATAAACGTTTTAAGGTTTCCATGTGAAGAACATTAATGCATGTATCAAATGTAAAAGATATGGTTATATATCTATATCTTCCATGAGTTTAGTGAGATTTGTCATCACTTACGAAAGTTACTAAAAGCTTTCAATATAATATTTACAATAACAGAATTATTTTATTAGGTTCTACGGTTCGTTCCAATTAGTGAAGCCGATGGTACAGGTGAGGGATATCGAGCTGATCAAAAATATTAGTATCAAGGACTTCGAGCATTTCCTCAACCATAACCAATTCCTCAACACAGAGATCGAACCGGTTTTTGGAAGAAATCTTTTCGGTTTAACAGGTAACGATAGTTGTGTGTAATGTTGCCGTTACTGCTGCAAATAGAACTCGACTAAGTGTCCCAGTTACAATTTTTTCTAAAAACATCTACGATCTTATTCTCAACTACTCGCTTATTTTGATTTAGCAAATGAGTTGGGAATCATGTAATAAATCACAAGTATCATTACGATATGACGCAAAAGATTCAAGTGTAATCCGAAGGAGACACAATGCCACGTGGGCTTTTGGTGTCGTACAAAAGTGTACAAAAAGTATCAACTTCAATTTTGACTCTTGACCATCAGGACAAGAATGGAAGGACATGCGATCGACCCTCAGCCCTGCTTTCACCAGCTCCAAAATGAAAATGATGCTGCCACTGATGGTAGAGGTCGGAGATCAGATAATTGTACCGCTTGAGAAAAATATCCAGGCATCTGAACGTAAGTAAATTTTGAGTATTTATACCATAAAACCAAAACATTCCATGATGATAGACGCGCATGTTCATGGGTGTTTGTTACGCTATTTAATGCAATAATTGTTAGATAATTGATGGGAATAATTGACAGATAAGGAAAGTGTTACAAAAGAGTCTAATTTTTTTCGACTTTCCATACAAATTTATCGATGATTTAGCACAAAATGATATATAGCAGGTGAAAGCTGTGATATCCTAATGGTTTGACTTACCGTCTCTGAAGTAGGGGCCGTTGATTTCAATCCGGGCTCGCAACTTATGTGTGAAATTTAATTGGAAATTTAACATGAGCTTTTCGGTGAACGAAAATATCGTGATAAAACGTACACGTCGACGACTTCTATGGCCTATACCCTCGCTGGAGAGGAGACTCTTGCCCAGCAGTGGAACGTAAAAACGGGTTAATGATGATAATGATGTTTGAATTACCTGTGTGTGCGTTTTTATAGTTCCTTTTTATTTACAGAAGGTTATTTGGATGTGGATGTGAAAGACCTAATGACCAGATACGCGAATGACGTAATTGCATCTTGTGCCTTTGGCCTGAAGGTGAATTCTTACGTGGACGAAAACAACCAGTTTTACGCGATGGGAAAAATCCTTTCTAATTTCTCTTTGCGTCAAATGTGTTTGCTTTTCTTGGCGCTTTGTTTTCCGAAGTTCATTAGAGTGAGTATGTTTAGTCCCTCCTTAATCGTATCCCGATAATCTTTACTACGACGTTTCCGAAGAATTTTTCATGAATCTTATGAAAACCACCTACAAGGACCGTGTAGTATAAACAAATGTATTATTGTATAAAGATATTCATGAACATTTGTTACCTATTTTTGTTTCTATAATACAACTCCATGCAGACAAAACCGACTTCATGCAGTCGAAATCGACTGGGCGCAATCGACATTAACTGCAGGCAATTTTCGCCACGCGTTTAGCTCAGGAGCTCAGTGTAAAAGTTGACTTCGAGATGGAAGCACGGACGCTACTTCTGTTGTAATTGGAGCCAAAAACAAAAGCATGCAGCGTCGAAAAAATCATTATTGTTATGTTGCTATAGAGAAGGTGATTTTCATATACTGTACCCGAAATTAAGACAAGATGAAAACAAATTTTCAAGTACTTTAAAGTGTCGATTGCTACATTTGATAAATTAAATAATACATTTAAAGCATCACTTTCTCATCAGAAATAAATATCCTCGTAAGAAAGTCAACTACAACTACTTTTGATCGGACTCTCGGACTATCATTCACATCGACGCTCGAAGTTGATGTCTCAACTGCATGGAATTGAGTTTCGACTGCATGCATGCGTAAAGTTGGTTACGACTTCACGCATTAACTGCAAAAATGCATTCAATGTGTTAGCAGCCTTAACGCTTTTCCATGAAATGACAAACGACATCACATTCCGTATATTTTGTGTTGTGTGTTTCACGTTGATGTTTACATTATTCTCCAGTGTCCATCATGGCGCTGTCGCCCGGTTTTTTATTGTGATAGGTAAATCATTATGTAGCAACCTATAAATTTCAATTATATAATAATAAAATATATATTCAATTATATTTTCAGACATTAAAATTGACTCTGTTCCCCAAGGCGGTAGAGAACTTCTACAGGACGCTGGTGACGGAAACGATGCAAACCAGGGAGTTAAAAAACATCGTTCGGCCTGACATGATACATCTGCTAATGGAAGCTAAGAAAGGTTTTCTTTATTCGCTAGTTCATCGGTATTGATAAATATAGTAACTGGTTAATTTGCCAAGCGCGTGTTTTATAACATCTGTTTGTAATAAGAGTGAGCCCGCCTATTACGTCATCTCAAATTGTGTTCGGACCGAGGCTGAGAGGCTCCGGCTGGGCATCAAATTCGACTAAGTGTGAATATTATGTACCAGCATACTGGTACAAAAATGTAATTACTCAGTACTCGTGTATTAATTTCTATGTAGTGTGTTTCTTTTTTAACTTATTGTTGCTGTTACATTTCCATGGGAATAATAAATTTTGGTTTAAGATATTTATTTCTCAAAACAATACAAATTCACTTAGCGAGAAATACAAGGTATTATAATAATTTCTACAGAGAGTCGTGTCGACAAAATATTGAAATGAAGGTATATTACGGAAAAAAGTATTTATGTGGTCTGTGAAGTATTCAAATAAAATTTCGTGTTCTAGTATAATAAGAAAAAAAACAAAAGCAGGATCGTAACCAAATACATATTTTAAATCAATTGCCATGGTGACAATAGTAATTACATAAATAAGTAAAAATATCAAATCTGCCAGAAATTCCTCATAATGTGGAAATTAAATTTATTTTACAATAATTGGAATGATTGTACTTCCTTAATATCTTTCGGTAATTTGTTGCATATTTAGCTCCTTCGTGTATTATGTTTTTCTTTCCATAATTCCGTAGTAAACCATCTAATAGGTAATTAAAAAAATTGCTGCTAGCTCCTCTACCAGCTATTCGGGTTAGTAGCAGATATGTCAGTTGAAGTATCCAGTAACAATGTTCGGACATAGCTTCCAACTCAAGTGGGCAACTCACTTGTCCCGCGTGTCTCCTCGCCTTAGACCCTCGTCTAAACCGCTATTAAGACGCGCTAGCTGCGCACGAGACGACCCGGCAACACACCACCGGAGCAGACGAACATGTCCGTGTCTGCTGCTAACACAAGAGTTCACACTCAGAGTCCGGGACGTATCACTGGCGGAGGGCTAGGCCGGACGTCCGCCGTACCCTGGTCTTATCGGGAAATCCGTAGTCTCCTCGTAACTCTATCTCTCGGCTCGGTAGACATGGAGAAAATACAAAGTGTAAAGTACAGTAAATAAAGAAAAAAGAGCTGTGATTTAAAAAAGTCATAACAAACCGCAGTCGTCGGCTAACTTATAGGAGCTAGGAAAATTAATACCAAACATATGTACAAAAAATAGGAAGATATTCAAGCTAGCTGCTAGCTACCGACTTATTAACAAAATGACAAATAATACTACGAAGAATTTTTGTTATCAATCGCGTTTGACTATTTTTACACACGTCGTACAAATTTTTTACTCTACAGGAAAATTGACGTACGATGAAAAATCAAGCCATGTCAAGGATGCTGGCTTTGCCACCGTCAAAGAATCGTCTGTTGGTCAGAAGAAAATCACCAGAGGTACGTAATATTAAAATAGGAGTAACTTTTTCTGAAATGGTGTCTGAAATTAGTGATGTAAAAGACCTCTGCTTCGGCTTCTGCAACTGCGGTAGCTCCGCACGCTTTTTCACATCTGTTTCCATTTCTGCTTTCTCAACTTTTATAACTGAACTGTTATTGGACGTTTAAAACTTTAACGATGGATCGGGCGTGGGCGCGTGCTCGCACGTTTCCGCTACTTTTCACATGGTATTTTCGTTTCTGTTTCTGTTATGACACTTTCGTTGTATCATTATCTGAAATGAATAAAACGATATTTATCATCATCATCAGCTTACATGCATCCACTGCTGGACATAAGCCTTCCCTAGAGCACGCCAACTCTCCCGGTCTTGTGCCGCCCGCATCCAGCCGCTGCCGGCCACCTTGCTAAGGTCGTCGGACCATCTTGTCGCAGAGCGTCACACACTACGTTTTCCTTGACGTGACCGCTATACCAGAACAAGTCTGCTCCATCGGCGATCAACCCTCCTGCAGACAGGAGGTAGTAAAAGATACTAATAAACTGTTTCGATGTTTTCATTCATTCAGGAGCAAAAAAATTATATTCAAAAAACAATGGCGAACTCCCATACCAATTCTTGTTGTTCCAATTTTCTTTGCACCTATAATATTATGAAAACCATGTATCAGTATAAATTCAACGAATTGGTCTTGAGTTTACTATTTGACAAATTTGAATTAAAGGTACTCCGTTTTTTAAAATTTTTATTGTATTGATATTCAATTATTTTTTGTGAAATTATTCCACTAGTTTGTTATAATTATTAATACAAAGATCGAACACTCAGAAAAAATTCCTTCGATCCGGCCGGATTCGAACCGACGTCTTCTAGCACACCATGCCAGACGCTATAATAACTAAGCCACGGAACGAACCAGCGGACCTCACGAATTTTTGTATGCGCTTGTATTTGGTTTTTCACACGAGTTTTTAATCGTAGCGCCATCTACGAGAAATCTATGAAAGTTTTATCACCCAGTTAGATATCTTAACAGCAACCGGCCATGGCGAGAGATGTCGTTACTTAGTTTGTCAAGGCAAGGACCTTTAAAGATGTTTTTTTCAAACAAATTTTTTATTATTATTCTCTTTAGTATGGTCCAACGACGACTTGTGCGCCCAAGCCATTCTGTTTTTCGCCGCTGGTTTCGAGAGCGTATCTTCTACAATGTCTTTTCTGCTGTACGAGCTGGCTATCAATCCTGATAAGCAAAAGAAGCTGTACCAGGAAATTAAAGAGAACGAGGTCAAAAACAACGGGAAATTTGACTATACTTCTATACAGAATATGATTTATATGGACATGGTGGTCTCTGGTAAGGGCATGAAGACGAACTTTCTTATTATTCTTTAAAATAATCTCAATAATAATGAACCTCGAAAGTCAACCTTAGTAACCCTTGACTTTTAAATAGGGTGTAATTACGTATTTTTCTGTAACTGAGTTTTCACTTGATTGTTTGCCTAAATATGTTTTATTTTTCAGTAATTCATTACTTAGTATGTTACCATGGACCTATAGCTTCTACAGACTGCTAATCTCGTTATACGAAATCGTAGTTGAGTATTTAATGACTATTGGGTACACCAGATGTCGCCACGAGTACCAAATAGCTATTTTTACATATAATTTGTTTTAGACTGACGAGCTGCAATTTATCAAAGATAATTTGTAACAAACAAATCAACTAGATGGCGCTAATTTTATGAAATTAGACATTCTTATGGACACTACCGCCTTCAATTTAATTTTGTTTAGGAATAGCGCCATCTACCCATGTAAGCAATGTAAGCAAGCGTTAATTTTTAAATACACAAAGCCATCTATTTGTGAAAGTTCAAAAAATAATTTTAGTTCATTACAAGGAAAAATACACTGCTTCATATTAAAGAGGAATTAATAGATATCTACGGCTATGTGTATAATATAAACTATTTTTAGGCTATTGGTTCATCGCCATCTAGATATAAGACGGGATTTTGTCCTTTTTCAGAGTTACAATCTGTAGTATGAAGATTAGCAGTCCCGTCCGAAATGACATTTTCCAGAAATAATGTTTGCTCGAATTTTCATAACCTCGAAAGTAATTTTGAGAGGAAAATGTTTTTTCCTTTAAACCTTTTTTTTTTTTTTTTTGTTAATCCGGGGGAATCTGCTTACAGATACCCCGGCCCCGCGGGGGCAGAGCCGGGGTTATGTGGGACTGGGCTGAACCCTGAAGGGGAGCAGTCCGACCGCACTAAACCCCCGGAGTGTTCCTCCTCTCCGCTGTAGGTGGGGGTACGGGTACGCTGTTGCACTCGTCCGCGCCCCCACCAGCGGCTGGCCGCGCCCTGCGCAGCCGAACACCAGACGAGCCTTCCATCCCGGGCCCCTTTATGCTGGGCAACGAACTCCCCCGAGTCCGCTACCCAGGGGCCATGGGGGGCCAGGACAGCATCCACTCAACTGTGAAGTTCAGTGGCTGCTCCCCCAGCCCCCGCGGCGGATCTGATGACAGGCTCCGCCGCAACACCTAACGCGCTTCCGCGCGGACTCTCCGATGAGAGTCCCTCGGAGCGCCCACCACGGGCCAACCGCCCACGTTCGGCCGCGGAGGATAGGACGAGCGGCAACGACACACCGACACGTCTCTTCCCCCGCGGCCCCGCCGCCACTGCATCATTAAAAGCGGTGCAGCCCCGCTAGGGTCGCGGAGGACAGGACGAGCGGCAACGACACACCGACACGTCTCTCCCCCCGCGACCCTCCTCCTCGCGAAATCCGCGCGGTCTCCCGCTGGCCAAACGAGCCCCGCGCGGAAAGCCCTCCTCCTCGGGCCAGCCTAGCACCATCGGCCGGCCCCGTGGGTTCCTCTTAGCTTCACCGTGGGATGAAATCGACCACGGCTACTATAGCCCCCCCGCCACGACAAGGCCGGAACCCCTTCGGGGGGGTTTTCCTTTAAACCTAACTTAACCTAACCTAACCGAACCTAATCGTGTCTTTGCGATAAACATCCAACATATCCTGAAAGAACGACTGTTTGATTATAATTTGGTTTTCGGTGTAATGAAAATTCGAACAAACGTTATTTCGGAAATAAAATTCGACTTTGTGATAGGTTACCGCTGCAGCTAAGCCACCACAGTTGCAACGTCATTGTCGTGACCTACGCGCGTGACTTTTGCAGTCACAATTAGTGAACTAAAAGTTACTAACGCGCTACAAACGCGATGCTTTCGTGCCACAGTCGCACCATTGCAACGTTTCTACACGCTTTCAATTTGAAGCCGCGTATAATATAGTAAGCGCGTTATATTTCATAGCGTAAACGCTATGAATCCAAGTGTCCATAAGAAATTATTGTTATTATATAATATCAAATGGTCATGTACTTTTTGAAAAGTATGGACTTGGCAATTTTTAACTAACCGACAAATTTAATATGGCAGTCCTGTTATTATAATAAAATTTGTGACAAATTTAAAACGTTGACCAAAAGTCAGTCTAAATAGGAAAGGTAAACAATTTCTTACTAAATATTTTGTATTTCAGAAATATTAAGATTATATCCGCCCAGCATTATCTTAGATAGATGCTGTACCAATAACTACAATTTGGGCAAACCTAACGACTATGCCACTGAGGACTACATTGTAAGTGTTTAAAGGCAAACTGCCTTTATTTAATTAAACGAAATTTATTAGAAATCATAGGCATATTTTCAACTCGTCGAAAAATTCCCCTGAGAAAAAACAAGCAGAAAATTAGAATGGTTGTAATTTTTCCACCATGAAGCACTTTGTATGGAACTATAACAATAATATTATTCCAGTCATCTTTACCTGGTGTACTGTTTAAATATCGTGTACAAAAGTTCTGGCAGGCTAAGACAAAAAATAAGCAATAGCTTTTAATGGCAGTAGAACTCCTTGTGAAAGAATTCGTTAAAGGTAGCACTGCAACCTCATCTATTTCTGCCTCCAAGAGTAATGTGAACATTACTGCGTTCCGGTTTTGAATGATAAGGGTGCTGGTGAAATTACAGGCACATGTATTAGGAAGCTCCAGAAATAAAATTCCTCTCTCTGTTATTTCATTTATTAACATAAAGACTATTATGGAAACCAACCTTGAGACTCAGACATATTAACTAAAAATAACGGATAACTTATTTAAGTCGAACTTTTTCTCGACATGTTTCGAATTCGTGGCCATTTTTCGTGGCAAGTTTCCATTGAGTCACATCTTTTGATTAAGTACCACGAATTGGTTCCAAATGTGTCGAGCAAAAATTCGACTTAAATACGTAGGTTATCCGTTATTTTTAATCACGACTATTATGATTGTACAGTTTGCACAATAATATGGCACGGTAAAGTGAAATGAGAGGCACTGTCCTCTGAGACTCCAACAAACAGAATGCCGAACACTCAAGTATCACGAAGTAAGAATACCTTAGCTGTATAGTGGGAGTTTTTAGGTAGGGCTGCATTTTTGGCGCCACCAATGTATTGTGGCAATTAAAGTTGCTGTGACGCCATCAGTGAAACTTACTGGCGCTGCCAACCTAACAATATACATAAAAAGATATAACACTCACAGTGTAATAGCAGTAGTGGTCATTGTGAATCGTCCAGGGAAGTACTACCACCTTACCAATTTTTGCCGCTAAGCAGTAATGTCAGCATTACTGTGTTCCGGTTTTGAAGAGTGTAAAGGTGTTGGTGAAATTACAGGCACATAGGACTTGTCAACTTATGTCTCAGGGTGACTGGTGCAGTAGCAGTGCCCCAGATCTTTGCGTTTAACGCTCCCAGTGGCACTGCAACTGTTATGGACAGGCGTGTCACTAACGTCGCTTGATAGTATATTTAAAAAAAAAGTTTTTCGTTTGAAATTGTTGCATAGCTGCGCACTGTCAAGCAAAGACCATAAACATCTCTTATTCTTTTATTTCTAATAAAATTTTTCATTATTATTTTATTCTTCTAGATCCGCAAAGGTGAAGGTATTCAGATCCCCGTGTGGGCAATTCACCGCGATCCTCAATACTTCCCGAGGCCGGACAAGTTCGATCCTGAGCGGTTCTCTGAAGAGAACAAGTACAACATCCAGCCTTTCACTTATATGCCATTTGGACTTGGACCTAGAAATTGCATTGGTGAGATTTTTTCCTATTCATGAACATTTCGACAGCAAAAATTTGAAATGTCGTAAGGAACATTTTGTCGTAATGAAAAATGTTCTTTACCACACAAAATTCAGTACTTAATCCACGAAATTATTGTCCTTATATCAACGGTGGAAATTTGAAATGTCCTAAGAGGCATTTTGTCGTAAGGTCGTCTGTAAATTTTCACCATTCATTTTTGGCTAGCATTAACTACTCATACCTCCAGTTAAAGCTCTTGCTTAATTTACAGGTTCAAGATTTGCCCTATGTGAAGTGAAAGTAATGGCTTATCAAATCATAAACCTCTTTGAAATATCGCCATCGAACAGAACGACTATACCTCCCAAGCTGGATCCCTCTTCGCACAATATTCGCTTAAAGGGGGGTCATTGGATCCGATTTAAGACTCGGAAATAGCCGTAAATAAAAATTGCCAGAAACCAGAACTCTACGCGAACGAAGCAACATGGTGTTCGTGTAAAAATAACAATCATAGTGTTGGGCTTAAATAATTTATAAGTTTTTATTAAAAAAACCCGAACTCAAAAATTTATATATAATCCCTTTTTGCTGTCATTTACTTCCGTTAAGTGTTAACGGAAAGAAGGTGAAATTCAATAAACTAGATTCAGTTTCATTCCAACAAAAAAAAAACCTTGAAATCGGTTCACAAATATCGAAGTAATCGTGTAGCACACCGCGTAAAAAATACGGACAAATTGAAAACCTTCCCCTTTTTTGAAGACGTTTAAAAATTACGTTCGTATTTAGAATCTGTGCTGTGCTTTTGTATGTACTCGACATGTAAAATGTACGACACGTAGTTTTCTTATTTCGCGCAGTACATACCTTAGAGATGTGCGCTGCGCCGCCACATCTCTAACAATTTTTTAATGCCGCCTGATGATTTTTTTTTATTTTACTTTGTTAATTACAAACTTTCGTACCATTAAAATCTTCTCTACTCTTCTTATTAATTTAATCTTATTATACTAGATTTAAATTAAGATCGTTTTTTATTTGTATTAGTTTTGTAATGATACTATTAAGTACATACATGCTAAAGGTCAGTACAAAGTGAAAAAAGTTGAAAATGAATACAAAGGTTGATTTAAACAATGTATTACTGTTTTTTTAAACACCTGATGCTCACGTGTGTACGTGTAGTTTGTTGTGTACACATAATGTTTATAATTAGTTTAATGCTTATTTGTACTTTAGTTCATTTTCGGTACAACGTAGTGAGGAAAAAGGGTTTTGATTTTGTTAATACTAGATGGCGTTAGTAACGCTTTTGGAAGTGTATGAATCGCATTGATAAGTTTTTACCGCGATTGTATTTATAGCATAAAGGTTTTGTTAGTTTTCGTAGTCAATTGATAAACGTGGAAATACCAGTGAACATCAGTGGAGTGTAAGGATTTTTAGGATCCAAGACTACACCTGAAAAATAATCCGCCGCGCGCCAGTGGAAAAAGAGCAACAGACGTCGCTTCCAACGATTTTACGATCGGTGCAGATCTCTACTCACTCACACACACATTTAAATATTCATAATATTGCATTATTTCAGTGTGACCATAATTTAATAAATACATTTTTTAAATTAATTCCATTCATCATACGATTCTATGAATTTTTACAAACCTTGTTGATTCCGTACACATAACTATAATGAGTTTAAAAAAAGAACGTCGCATTTTTGGTAATCAAAATATCAATTACGACGCTACTCAAACCCTATACTGTCTCCTGATTTTTTGTTTTGTAACGAATGTTTGTCTTTCGTCTAAATATATGAAGAGGCTGTATGGTGGAACCTTTGCCTACCCTAATAACTGGGTTAAAATTTATTAAAACAAAAGTTGCGTTTGTTGTCATGGATTGTTAACAAAATATACGTGAAATATTGGTTGTTTCACAATTTTATTTACTTGTAGAAAAAGTATGGTATGCAATCTTCACATAATTAGATCTTAAAATCTCGTGTACTCGAATTTAAGAACCTTCATTATGCGACGATTATATAAAATACAATTTATATATCATTCATACATTTATGTCTCAAAATAGACTATAATTGGACCACTAACTAAGTACATTCAAACATTTACATATATTAATAAATAAATTGCTTAAGAAATAGGTAAGATGGTAGGTAGCACTTCCCTAAAAAAGCTTTTTCACAAGGAGCTCTCTATAACGTCCTGCTTTTTATTACTTAAAAAGAAAAAAAGATAGATGCATTGATCTTAAATAAATATACGTAATGAAATGAAATGAGGTTTATTTGCATTGAATAGGTTATTACAGAATGGTAGTTATTACATTTGAGTTCATACGTGTGACGCACTATAAGTTTCCAGAATGAATAAGAAAAAAATACTAAAAATGGTCAAAAATGAATTTATTGTTTCTCAAAATATTCTCCGTTAGCGTTAATACACTTTTTCGTACGAATGAACTAATTTTGAAAATATTTATGCCACTCTTCCGTGACAATCTCTGAAACATATTTTTCATACTGTTCGACCGTTTCAGCCTCTTCAGGTGATGAAAATCGTTGACCTGGTTCTTAATTTTTAGAAATAAATAAAAGTCACAAGGTGCCAGGTCGGGACTGTTCGCGGGATGGCTCATAAGATGAACGTTGTTCACCTTCAAAAATTCATTTGTCTGTCTGACCGTGTGAGAACTGGCATTATCGTGGTGCAAGGTGATTCGGCGTTTACGGTTATTTTTATGGAGTTTGTCAATAACTTCCGGTAAATAAATGGTCGTGTACCAATCATTATTCACGGTACAACGATTTTCCAAATCAACAGTAGCCACGTGTCCAGTTTTATTTAAAAAAGAAGCAATCATCCGCTTAGAGGCACTTTGCACGCGCGCTACTTTGGTTGATTTCGGCTCATCTCGAAAAGCCTTACGCTCGATTGCTGCTTTGTTTTGGGATCGTAACTATACATCCATATTTCGTCACGTGTTACTAGGTCCCACACCAAATTTGACGCTTGCTTCTTCGCCAAACGCAGTTTGAAGTCGAGCAAAGCTCCGCTGAGCTGTTAACTTACGCTTAAAGTCGTAGAAAAACATACTACCAAAATTTTCACAAGTTAAATCCATGGTGATGTAGACAACCAATTTCTAAAATGACGGCACAATGCAAAAATAAGTGAAAGTCAGATGAAACAAATTGTATTCTACAGCCAAAGAGTTCCATTTTCAAATGTTGTAATTATTTTTTGAATATTGTTTATGTAAGTGGCCAGTTCCGGAAACTTATAGTGCGCCCTATTTATAATCAGCCATTATACAAAAGCATGTAAAATTTAATCTTCTAAGTAGTCATTTACACTATAATATCCTTTTTTAACTATGTATAATTGCATCATTGACTTACAAATAAATGGACGACGGGTCTAATACAAAAACCACGAA